CAGAGTGGCTGTGAAAGGTCTGTTCATGGTTGTGAAATTGTAAAGTCAGGATAATTTGTCTTGGATAAGCAAAATGAGACTGTCTGTGTCTTTGGCTGGTGTTACGTGGCCAATGTTGGAGACACTTTCTCCTTTTGGCCCCAAATAGATCTCAGGTTGCAGGGGCTATTCTGTTTCACAAAGCTGGGCACGTTTGTCTGGGTAACTCAAATCATTGGGCCGTGAGCTGTGGAAAAAGACTGAGTCATCCGGCTGCAGATCTGCGCTCTGGGAAACAGTGTGGACACCAGTGCAGGATGATACACTCTATGTCAGCCGTACTGTATGTGCTAGACCATCCACAGCCATGTAGTCGCTTGGCAGGCACCCACACACACTGAAATTCTCACAGCATTGAGCCAAGACGTAAAGCCAAGACATACAGCTTCACCCTCAGAATCCAGTTCTCCTGCACTTTTCTCCGGATTGCTCAAAACTGGATTCCTCTGTGCATCTCATAGACTTTCTGTTTAATTTGATAATGAACATGTATGGTGCTGAAGACTGAAGAGTAAGGTTATGGTTAGTAGCCAGGCTAATATTACTGGTGAGGAAAGTGCAAGTTCATTATGAAATAGATCCAGTTACTCATTAGCTTCAACAGCAGAAAGATTAAGTTGCATGATGTTGTCTGTCAAGTTCATTTAGTAAAAGCCATGCTGCCACATACTGTCTTTGGCCCAGGCATGTGTCCATATGTTGTATTTTGAAAATTGCCTTTGGAGTGCTGGAAAAAAAAGTGTGTAAACTTTTGAAAGTCCTTGGAAAAAATTGCTTGAATTTCACTCTCAAAAGGTTGTATGAACCCTGAAATAAATAGTGCAAAAACAATACACTATTTCTTTAACCTGTTGTGAGCTCGCACTTTGCTGGCTATTATTGGTTCGAGTTGACGAACGGTCTGGGGGTGTGTTTCCCGTACAACGACGTAGTTCACTGTTTCACTACCATAGTACGATGCATCGTCACGACTGTTTCCCGAAACCCACTGTCGCAAAGTATCGTTCAACCACGTTGGTTTCGCACGTGGTGGAGTAACTACTTTTAATGAAACTGTTTGAGATCCAATTAACGCTAGATTTGTTTTATATAAATTACAGACATATCATCTGAGGACTATTTCTAATTGTTCTCAGTTGTTCTGTTTTATTACCAGACTCAATATTTGGCTCGTTCTTACATAGTAGAGCACGTTCGCACATGCGCACTCTTCAAACACGTTACTTTAAATCTTTTGACAAACTAAAAGACGTTAATTCCATTTGTATTTATGCTGAATAAATGGTACCGGTTGTACTGAATGTCAGCTTGCTTTTTTTGCTCAGGATAAGGATTTATTACCTCCAAATGTCATGCAATATAGAAACGATGCCTCTAACCACAGGTCGAGAGCTGTCGTTCAAACCAGCGCAGTCTCATCCCAAGACGTCATATAACTGATGTCTTGGGACGTCTTTTGACCATACTGTACGTCAACATCCGCCTTTTTAGGGTACCCTTAAACGTCGGTTAGATGACGTTATCGGATCCTAACCCTACCCCAGACCTAAACCTACCCCGTCACCTAAGCGACGTTAAAGGTAGGGCTGGGGTAAACGATTATTAACTAAACGATTAGTTGGGCGATTATTTTATCGATTAGTCGACTAATCTAATGACTAATTGGACAACTAATATAAAGAATATTTTTTCTGCTGCTCAATTAATAAAAAAACAATATCTCAAATAAATACTGAATCAAGATACTATAAGCTGGCTAACGTTAGTCTAATGTTATGTATTTGAACACCATCATAACTCTACAACCGCCAAAACCGTGTTATTAAAATATTTTTTACAAACATTTTTTATCATAGAGAATGTTTAAATATTAATATCAGCTGAGGAGGGAAACGGAGTCGGAGGCGGAGTTCACCTACTGATCAGAGTGCGTGCTGACACGGAGTTAAAGCCTGGTTTATACTCGACACGTCCGCACGAGCGCGAATGTGCGCACGGCAAAAATGACCCGTTGGGTGCGCAAGACCAGGAAGACTGTGGCTGGCTGTGTGTACGCCTTTTTTTGTAACAACGCGCCTGGCGCCGCGTCCGGGAGCGACTTCAAGCCGAATCTGCCCGAGCTTGTACGTCTCACCACACCGGCACCCAGTTTGCGCTTCTAAATTGCAATTTTTTTTCTTGAGGGTTTGTTTACTGTGTGTGATTCAATTAAAGGATAGCACATTCACTTCTAGTTGTCTTCGTCCTCTATTCTGCAATGTTTCGGTCTCCCACGTGTGTGGCAAGCTGTACCGCCGGGAACATGCAAAAAATAAATAAATAAAGAAGCGTCGACGCAAAAATATGACGTCGACGCAATTTTGACGTCATCGACGCGCCGCTACAGCACTAGTTAAAGGTAAAGCGTCGGTTGTATGACGGCCCGGGATCGTCAACCAACCGAAGTTTAAGGGTACCCTAAAAAGGCGGATGTTGACGTATGATCAAAAGACGTCCCAAGACGTCAGTTATATAACGACTTGGGGTGAGACTGTGTTATTCAAACCACCCAACTTTGCGATGCTGTTGGCGAATGTCCGTTGGAACGATGGTTTCGGGAAACACCAACTCGTTAAACTATGCATATAACGACGGAACTTGCGACCATAGTTGGCTAACGATGCTTTCGGGAAACACACCCCTGGGCTGTGCAGGTCAGCCGAGTAGCGTGGTTTCGTTCTGTTTTAGTTTCGTGTGATGTTTCTCATATGCAAAAAATAATGCCATCTTAGTTGGGCAACGTGGTGGTGGCACCAGTGCTACCTCTAACGAAATGTTCTTTGCACCAGGAGGAAAACAGGTTGCAGTCGGGAGCCCTATACGTGTGTTCAGAATAATCTAAACATTTTGGTTAATAGATTATTGTTAATACTTTACTTGAATGGGTGTGCATAAGACATGACACCTTCGCATTTCATGAATATGAAGGAGGTTTTGTGCATGTTTATGACAAGTGTCATTCGCTCAATTATGACGTTTTTAATGCAAATATGACATTGTTTGAGATGTCTTTGTTATGAAACCTTGATATAAACCAATACATCATAACCTATCAGTGTCTTCGTCATTATCATGTCAGTCTGTTTCCAGAAAGTATTTTGAAAGTGTGATAAGACAATGACAAGCATACATGTTAAAGTTAGCCTACATGTCTCATCTGGCCTAAACAATGCCCTTCAAGTCTGTGCTATATCGCTACAGTGTTTTTAAGTGTGTAGCAGGGCATTTTGAAGACTGCTGGTAGGTATTCACTAATGGAGAGATGCCCCCATCTGTGGCATGCTGCCAGCCAGACCATCAAACTTTCATTGTGTAACTCACACAATGCTGCATTTGTTTATAGGTCTCACTCTTTGCGTCCTGCTTTTGGGAAGCACTGTCATACGCTGTAAGTTTGAGGGAGTGAATCTTCTGGAGAAATCATATCTTTTCTATCTCCATGAGTTTCTGTTTTGTCTGCATTTCTTTATTGTGTTGCATCTTGTCCACTCCTTGTTTATCTCATGTCTGGTAAATGGAGGCTTCAACCCACATGGTTGTTACAACAGAATCCCTGTCGATACGGATTGCGGTTGGTCTACTTTTCTAAAGCTGAACGTTAAGCATCCATCTTCATCTATCCTCCAACTCAAATGCAGCTGCATCTCATTCCACTGTGTGTTTACTTCCAGTTATTCATGAGACAGACAGTTCCTCTGTTCATCTGGCCCGATAATCTATGGAAAACAGGGGGTTGGGACTGTGCCCTTACTTGTCTGTCACTCTTTATATGGATGACGTGACCTACATGTCATTCCCGCAGCCACCTCTGCTCTAGGGGTCAGGGAAGTCCGGACGCCATCTGACCCTTTCTTCACAACAGGGCTCTCTTCGCCTGCTTAGTTGTCCCAGTTTCTCCTTCCCCTGAGTCTCCTGGCAGTTAGTAGGCCTAGTAGGTCACAGGAAGTCGGCTGTGTCTTTTGGAGCTCAAGGCCACACATGGTCCGCTCCCTCAAGACTTTAGTAGCTTAAATCATTTAACCTAAATATAAAAGCAGATGCAACACACAGCATCAGTCTACTGATGTAAACAGACATGCTGTGGAACATTCACCGTCACAAGTGTATGTAAATATGGCTGGTTGCATTGTGCTCTGTGAAAATGCTCTCCTATCCTGTATATGGAGTTCCAATTGAGAGCTTGTTTATCTAATCATCAATCAAAACATGAGGCTGTTTAGCCTACTCCTGTGACAACTCATCTAGCATCACTCCCTCACTTCAACTTTTGGATGTGTTCACACTTGCCAGGTTTGGTTAGATTAAAACAAACTGTTCATTTGAAAAAGTGCGAGGGCTGCCATCCGAACCCTGGTGCACACCAAACAAGCCGAATAGATCGGTGTCAGTTCGCTTCCAAACGAACTCGGTTCGGGTTGAATGCAACATGGATTAAAGACTTCTAAACAAAACAAAAATGGGATGTAATGTTACAAGATGAATGCGCAAGCACACCTGGAGTGTATTCAATTCTTCTCATGAGTGTAATGGACGTAGGCCAGTAAGAGCTGTGTGTGTAAACCTCACTTCCCCGATCTCAAGAGGCGCTCTAGCGACTTGGTTTGAAACCAAAATTAAAAATGAAAAATTACTTTGTTAAAAATGTAACGAGTAATTTAAATATCACAACATACAGTAAGTATTGTAGCCTGACTACTTTACCTAAGGCAAATTATATAATTAATTTGTAATTTAATCACATTTTTTATGAGTCATAATATTTTTTTAATTAATTCACAGGATGTTTTTATACATTGAGAAATAAGTGAATCGCAGCAAAGACATTAAACATTTTACCATATCTCCAACATATTCCTGTTAACTTTGCTTATTTATTCAGGTTTCTGCTTTATGATCATTTTGTTTTTGTGTTTGTTCCTCAGGAGAGGAAAGAAGCACAGTATTGTCCTGAGAACACAGCTGTCTGTCCGAGTCCATGCCTGCATAGGTGAGTAACTAGATACTGTTTTCATTTAAATAAACTATGAATGGCGAGAAAAGCATTTTCACCCATTTACATTTCTTGCTCAGTCAGCAGATTCTAGCTGCTTCAGATTTAGGAGCTATTTTCTCATTTGTTGCTTGTTGAATGACGGATGTGTAAATTATACTTACTGAGGCCCTTGCTTGATTTTTACTGTGTGGTAAAGATTTCCTGTTGTTAATATGCCCTCACGCCGCAACATTTATGATTTAGGTTAAACTTGTTCCATGCTTTATTTCTCAATCAATATAAAACAGCTAATGCAGCAACTTTATATGAATGCCAGGGTAATGCTACACACACACACACACACACACACCTATAGAAAAAAACAAATTGGACTTGAAAACATTTTAAATTTAATTCCATTTTGGTTGAAGAGGGAATGTTTATACGACAACGATGTATTAATTTAGGAAACGTTTGTTCTTTGTGTTTTTCGTGTACAGACGGATCTGTTCACACGGATCCGTGAAAACGACTAAAACACTGTATTATTCTGGCAGGCCAGTAGTTGGCGATGTCACTTTGTAAAAAAAAACAACAAAAAAAAAACATTATGCGTATGTAGACATGAACATTTTCGCATTTTACAAATTAGCGTTTTTGTTGTTTACATGGAGAAGATAACAGTATTGTTTTCAGAAACTTCACTTTAAACTAAGTTTTCAAAAGCTTGCTTTTTCAAGCCAAAACACTTGTCGTTTAAATGAACGGGCATAAGGCATATCAAGTAAATATAAATATAAATCAAGTAAAAATTATGTAAATATTTTGTTGAAAACAGTGTCATGTGAATGTGCCCTTATTTATAGTTTGTGTGATCAGTTTTAATCTATACTGTATATTTCTTCACAATCTCATTGTTTATCTCATGTCCCTAAACCCTGTTGACAGAATCAGGCTTCATTACCTCCATAAGCCTTATCCCAGATTAACGTCTGTGTCATTGTGTGAAAGCAGGATGGCTACGGCTATCTATGTATCACGAAGGAGTAAGTGTCACAGACGGCACCCTCAAAACCCATTATGGATAAAAACTGCGCAGTTTCTCTGGAATTGTAGTATCCATGTAACTTACTTCAGAGGTTTATGTTTCCTTGGTGACTCGTAGTCTCGGACAGCACAACCATAAACCGTATATGGACCGTCTGATGCATTTTGGACAGAAAAATTGGTTTTACCAGTGCACTTGGAAATTACCAGGCTACTATAAGTGCTTGGTTTCCATCCATCTAATGAATTATTTTATTTTGTTTGTACATATTTAATACAGAAAACGTACTTACAAAAACTTTTGCTTTAACTTCTACAGTAGCTACTACTTTCCTTTCTATTTTTATTTGGCTACAATGTCTGTGAATGTATTGGCAGTAGTAAGTCTTAGCAGATCTTTTTTTCTTTTCTTGTTTGAATAGGCTTAGTTCTTAGCTGGAATATTCTGCAGTGTGGTGCAAAGATGCTGTCAAAACCCCACCCCCTGGTTCCATCGGGATTTTCCTATGGAGTTCTATTATGGGCATTTTGAGTAAAATAAAGCTTGTGATGAACATAACCTGAAGATACTTAGACATTTTGTTTTGCAATGTAAATTACAGCCACCCATGCCGAATATGTGATATTTGAACCTCATGTTTTTAAAAAAAAAAAAAAAAAACTAGATAAGACAGTTACAATGTCAAAGTGTCGATAAGTTATGTTTAACCACAAGCTTTATTTTTTAATCTAAACACCAAAAAACCATTATAAAACCCTATAGGAAAATCTTGAAGTCAGGTTCCAACTTCATCTCTGCACCACTCTATGTGGACCAGACTTCATGCCGACAGTCAAATGTCTCAGTGATTCACTGCCGTTGTCTACAGGAACTGGTAGTCGGTGTTTAAGACAAGTGTGTGTCTGTAGCGAGCAGTATAAAGTTAGTGGCGTGCTGCACCGCAGCCAAGCACACGTGGCTCGTACAGTTTTCCCTCTCCAGACTGCAGAGGAAAATGTAACCGTCAGCCTGAAAAAGTCATTAAAGCTCAGAACTGTCAGATTTTAATTTGTACGTTTCGCAAAAAGTGTTATTTAAGGGGACCAGGGACAAAAACTTCCCTAAGAAAGAAGTGCAGTTATCTCTCGCTGTCAACTCAAGCGTTGATACTATTTACTGATGCTGCATGCCTGACGCATTGCAGAACCATTTGGAAACTCCAAAGCTGTTCTGCTAGGGGTATTTGGGTCCAAAAATAAAGTTGCTGAAACTCCTGGCAAGGTCTGAGAATCTGTTGAGAGAGATTTTACGAACCAGACCTGCTCAGACACCTGCCCTTGAGTAGTTTTCCCCTTTCGTTGGAAGCCTTTCTCGCAATTTGCGAACCGTGAAAGAGGGCAGAAGCTCAGCACAAGTGCCTCTTGTAGCAAACCCTTCCGAGAAGCTTCACCTATCTGAACGGTGGCTTCAAAAACACGCCATTGATTTATGTCTTGATAACGTGCTTTGTTTGTCTTTGTGGAATCAATGTTCCGTATCTACTATTTAAACCCGTATGGAAAGAGAAGCTTGATAAGAGAACCACTATGCTCTGCAGATGTTGCCTTGCCTCTCTACAGCTTGTTGAATGTTTTCCTGCCATTCTATCCTCTGTCCCGGGACCTGTCCTAGACCACGCTGCATTCCTCGTAGCGATGATGAGATCACTTTTCTGACCAGCTGTGTGCTTGTGTGATTTGAAGGCCTATCTGGGTCAAAGGTGGGGGACCTGTGTGTGGGAGGTAAGAGTCGGGCGAGACTCTCTCTCGCTCTCTAAGCGGATGACCCAAGATGACAGCTGCTTGTCTTTAGGCTTGAAAAGCGTCTCTGGGTCTGTGTTGATGAAAGAGAGGGATAAACCATCCATGATTTATGCAGCTTTTAGGGATGACTTTGAGTCATATGTAATTCATATTAATAGTATTTAATATTTTGAATTAAGTTTTTTATTTATATTGTCATTTTCATTTCATTTTTAGTTATTCTTATGCACTTGTTTCATTTCATTTATTATTATTATTAGATATTTAACTGCAGTTACACTCTTGGAGCCCTGTCTTGCACCTGGCGCAAATGACTTCGTACACTGACGCATTTATCATTCCTATTTTGCACCCCGCGCAAAGCTTTTCCCTCCACAGACGCACGCCGGTAAAGGCGGTTCTGCACAAAAAAAAAAAAAGGCAGTTCAGCACAAAAAAAGAGGCATGTTCCTGCGCAAATACTCCCTGCTGCTATTTTGCAGTTCCAGAAAACAATTGTGTTGCTCGTACATTCAGATGCTATTTTAAGCGCGCATGTGTGGCGATAATACAGAGTGTGAAAAACGTGCGTAAACTGTAAATGTTTCTCTCGTCTACACAGATGCATTTTACTTTTTGCAAATGATACATTATTATAAGGAAAATATTAAAACACGAGGGAAATCATTGTTGTGTCCATGACGATTGGAAAATTAGAGATATAGCTTACACATTTACCCAAATTATTATATGCATTTTTAACTGAAGCTAATTTGGCTGGGTTTGTCCAATCCCAAATGTCCCTTCTCTTTCTTTTACGGCCCTGACGAGAACATCGATCTCCTCGGCTGTGAACCGGTTGAAGCGCGCTATAATGGAATTGCGCCATGGAACAAGCGCGCCTCGTTCATCACGGTCTTAAGCTGCGTTCACACTTCACGCGACACCATTCATTTTTAATGGTGAGTGGGCGACTTCCTGCGACTGGATGGGGCGCTGTCTGACGACGCGACAAAGTTGAGAAATGTTTAACTTTATACAAATGAAGAAGAGCGATTTTCGCGAGCGACAACCAATAGGAGTGAAGTCAGTGGAGCGCGTCACTCTTCAGTGCTGAGTCTGACCAAGACAAGTTGAACGAGAAGCTCATTTTAGCAGTCAGAAACTGTCCCATAATTTATGATATATCTCCGTGTACATACAGTGGTGTTCGGGTGGTGGTTTCGGGAACCCACATAGACTGGTATGTGCCTGTTTGCTGCAGTTAAATAGCCGCGATGGCAAAGAGCGCTCACTTTCTCGTTCATCTTTAATATTATGCATTTTATGTACTGATTCCATGTATATTTAGACTTTTCCTTACAAAATATTTGTTTGTAGCAGCAATAAAAGGTATTTGTTGTCTAACATAGAGTAACATCCATGAATGTCACTCACAAACATTAATAGGCAACCAGTAGTGGGGAACGCCCTCCAGTGCAGCCACTGGCGAGCTACAGCGACAAAGTCGCGTGTAGTGTGAACGCAGCTTTAAAGGGAATGTGATATGACGATCTTATTGGTTTGTTTCCCGTTACGCCCAAACCACACCTATAATGAAGCTACTTCAGACCAACCTCTTTGATCAACTTGCACTGGCCGCTAGAGTCATTTATCCCGCCGGTTAAATAGCAACAGCGCCGAGATCTGCCCACAAAGTTAAATCAACTGCATGATAGACCACAACTATCATGCATAATTTGAGCAGAGGCAATAATAATGTCCAAAGTCTGTGAACTGTCATAATTTGTGTCAAATAATTTGTATTTTGATCCAATTTTTCCTGATCCCAATTTTCCACCAATATTTTGGAAACAGGGAATTTTTTTTAGCTCAGTCTAAATGAAAAGCTAATCTAAAACAGTTATTTTCCGAGATGCTTACAGAAGTGCCCAACATTTATTTGTTAAAGTATATTCTTGTATAGAGAGATGCATTTACCATAAACAATAGCCATCTGCAGCATCTTCTGTGACATCTGGCTGTGCTTTTGATCATACATTCAGGGCCCTTTATCTCTAGTTTGATGAAAGGAATGAATTCAAAACCACTGTGCTGCTGCTATTCATAGCAGGACTGAACACACTGCTCCGCTATAAATCAACTCACCCGAGTGAGCTGTCAACAGATCTGATGACACAACGCCATGAGAACTATTTTCCTGCACT